TGGTCTTGGGAGGGGGGGAGGGGGTGCAACAAAATACAAATTCACCCAGGGTGCCATTTTCCCTGAGGCTGACTCTGGTGTAGATATAAATTGGATCTGATGTACATTGGAAAGGAGAAGACATGATGTAAATGAAAAATTTCAGCTTGCATTCCTTGGCCAGTGTCAAGATCATACCTAAATATCAGTTTAGATATACTCTTAAATGCCTGCTCCCCTAACCTCTGGGTCCCAGCCACTAGACTATTGAGGAAGGCTCCCTTTGGTGCTTTCTCTTTCTAGCCACAGAAATCTTTACGTTTTGGTTGCATCCTGGTTCAGCTTCAGTAGGAAGGATGGAGGGTCCCCCTCAGCCTTGTGGATAGCCTGGTGGTTAGAAGACACTCTCCTGGGAGCCGAGAGAGGTGGATTTGAAACCTTTGAAGCAGAGGAGGGTCTCAAACCCAAACCTCTTGCTTCCAAAAGCAAGTGCTAGGGGCAGGTATCACTCCCACCACACCCTAACTACCACACTAAAAGGAGCTAAAATATCAGCCTACTCAGTCCACAGTTGCAGCATGATGTAGTATGTCAGGGAAGACCAAGGTCCAGATCCTTGTAAGTATTTAGGTATTTATTTACATTTGAACATCTGTGCCTATGTTCTTTTTCCTCTTCCTTCAGTCCTATTCCTTATATTCAGTCCATTCTTGACGCTTGTTAACCTGGCCGGGGTACTGGGGAGAGCCAGGGCAGGCACTTGTGGTGAGGGGGCTCTGTTGCACCCCACTCATCCCCCCCCACCTCTAGCATGGACCTCTTGAGAGTGGTGGGAGCAGCAGCTGCCAGGCAAGCCCAGCTGGAGGGGGAGGAGGGTGGAATGGAGCTCCCTTGTCTGGGGGTCCAGCCTGGCTCCCCTCCAAGACCCCAGTTGGGGTAGCTGGTGGGGGCCATGAGGCAAGGGGGCTCCATTTTACCCTCCATTCCCCCACTCAGCTAAGGCCAGGCCTAGCAGCCCTGCAGCTGCTGCTGCTCCCTTCGCTCCCTGTCTGCTGACAGCCCTGGAGCTGGGAGGGGGGACAGGGATGGGGAGGGACAGTCCTGGCCAAAGCCCCCACTTGCTAGCCAGGAGGGCCAATGCAGGCAGGCTCGATTTCCCCCCTCAACTCAATAGGCAAATGTCTGTTGTGTTGTGGGTGAAGGGAGCTCTCTAACTCCTGGTGCTTTATATAACTCTCCATGAGTTAGAGCAGGGCCCTGAATGTCTGTCAGCGCCCCGCATCTCCTTTGACTCCCTGCTGGATGAATTTCAGTGATCTGTCAGCTGCATGCTGTTAATCCAATTACATTCTTCTGTGATAAAGCACAGGCGCCCTGTTGCAGACGATCAGAAAACTTCTGAGAAACAAACGGCTACCAGGGTAAATGCAATTAGAGATTTATTAAGGCAACTTTGAACTTAGATGGAAAGGGAACAGATATGCTTAGTAAGTGAAGACAGTCCTCTGGCTTTTCACAGTCTTGGTATAATTTATAAGACGGGAGGGGCAGGGGAAAGAGAGTTGTATCGGGATAGTTAGATTATGATCTGCAGGCTGCATGAGTCCGGTAGGGCCCCACTAACTTCAGCTGCGGTCCACCCAGGCAGATAGCAGGAGGAGGAGTTTTAAAATGTATTTAATATGCTTGAACCCTTCTGTTAAGAGAGAAAATTAATCAGCAACAGTAGGCAGCTTGATCATTAAGAACTCTTTATTTTAATTTAGAAAGCACTTAATGAATTGCAGCTTCTCAAATTGAAATCCTAGTCTTACAACAACTACACCCATCACACTGATGGTACTCAATAAATACAGCTGTTACTGATGGAGATAATGCATTGCATCACTACTAATGTACATTATTGAGTTAGTTCTTAAATTTTAGCTCACTTAACATGCCACAGCTCAGCTCAGCGTTCATCTCAACGTCCCCAAATGGTTGTAATTTCAAAAACAACAACCTTGAAGCAATTAGTAAATAGATGCATATCCCAGATAGTCTAAAGGCTCTATAGCTCTATTCACAGTTACAGCTCAGCAGCATTGGATGACCATTTGAAACAGGAGCTTCAACAGCCAAACACCTGCAGATTCTTTAATCATTACAGGAATGAAGCCCTGAGCCCCCTGCAAAAGGCATGTAACATTTAGAGTATTTCAGACCAAGAAGGGCATTCAGTCTTACAGCCTTAAGACCTTCTTATGGAATGTCCTGCCAGTCAGACTCTTTCCTCTCTGATGGCAGATCCAGTTTATGATGCCAGTGAAAGGTAAGCATCCCTCTTTGATGATCTCTGAACAATATCTGCATATTTGTAAAGTTAGAAGTGCGCCTGGTAATTGCATGTTGGAGCTTTAAGCTGATAGGGTCACATTCCTCCTACTGGGCGCCATTCTGATAGTCCCTAACATGCACAGACCCCAAGAATTTCCCTTAGCTGGGGGTCCTGTGTAGAGACTATACATACGTGATGCCACAAGGTCCTGGTACAGGGTACAACACCAAGGACAAGGCAGAAGATTTGCCAGAATATATGGTATTACAGCTATTCTCTGCTTCTCACAGCATGGAGGGTTCCTAGTTATTCCAAACTATCATGAGGAATCGAGGATCCACTATGCTAAAGGTGCTAAATAAATATATATGGAGAATAAACAGACTTTCCTGCCCCAGGAAAACTGAAAAGCTGGCTAATAAGAATATGCCCTCAATCAAGTCTCACACAAGAAGCAAGCTTGTTTCTTATTTTACAATCACTAGATTCCTGGCCAAAGCATCTTGTTATCACGTTTCCTAGATATAAGTCAACACCTCATTATCCTTAACTATATCAGTCTGTTCCCAAAATTTCTGCTTGTAGGAGTGATGGATGGCGTTTGAGAAAACACATTGCCAAATGCTCTCTGCACAAAGCACAGCACACTTTGTTTTTCTGGATGGAAGCAGAAGAACAAAAGGGTGTTGAGGAAATAGAAAGGGGAACAAAAGAAAGGGATGTAAAGCACAGAGGAGGGAGATGAGCAAGTTTAGCATAGCTCAGCCACAGAATATGTATCAGGTCACGTGGTACAGCCATAGCACTCACTAGGGACTACACACACACACACACACACACACACACACACACACACACACACACACACACACACACACACACACACACACACACACACACGC